GAGCATCTCCAACCATCCCACTTTTGAGAACATGATTATACCATTTGTGGACAAAAAATCCAACTCCAACAGAAAGGCTAGATTTAAGGTGGTCTGCTAAAGTCAAAGGTCGAGCTGCTATATATATACTAGCTACTGTTCACACCAGCTAAATGAAACTTCCGACTTTAAAAAATAATTTTGGGTTGTAAAAGAAATGAACTTCCAACTTCCACATATTTGTTTGTTCTCAAGATATGCTTATTATATTTGATTTCTGTTATTTAATTTATAAATTAATGATTTGCATATTGTTTATTGATATTGGCAATTTGGCAGTATAAGTTTCTGATTTCTATTTCTAATTAATTCTTCGGCAGATTGTATAATCTACAAGTACCTATAGTAATAGAAAAAATGAGAAGTAATTAAATATAATGAATGGAATAATATAGATGGTATGATTGGAGTAGAAAGTTAAAAAAACACTTGCTAAAACACCGTTCTCCACCTATAATATATATAGCATTTCTGTTTTTACCTTGTAAATTGAAAATTTTATTTGTTTATATAGGTTCTTGGGGATACTCTTCAGACCTGTCAGGATGTTGGAGGAGATACTGGAAGTGCAGAAATTGGCTCACATAATAAGGAACACACAGTTGTGGATTTGAGAATTGCTGGTCCAGATGCTAAAGAAAGTCGACCGGGCCAAAGTTCAGACATTGACGAGGACAACTCAAGGCCTAATAAGAAATTCAAAAGCGAGATTAATGCTCATGATAATGGACATCACTATATTGAGTCTTTATCTCTGAATGATGTGAAACCAGACACCATGAAAGCCAATACACAGTATCCTGAATTGTCTGTTAATATTTACTCTGAAGAAGGTAAAGTAACTGAGACATCAGTTCCGATTTCAGAAGCAAGTGATCAAAAGGGGCTTGATGCAAGCAGGAGGCTAACTGTTGCTAGTTCTAGAACCGATAAATTTGATGAACCACCTGATAATCCCTCTCAATCCAAGCGAGAACCTTCAGGTTCAGAAGGTTCCATGGGAGCAAGGAGAAGGTCTTCAGGACTTAAACATAGTTCACAAGTGGCTGATGAATCGCCCAAATCTAATGGCACACCAAGAAGTCATTCAACAGCTTCTTATCAGCGTAAAGCAGTGGTTTCTGTGGTAAAAACTGCTTCAACTTCAGGCAGCATTATGTCCAAATCGTCAGACAAACGAGTGGATGCAACTGCCCCAAATCCTTCTAGTAACAGTAGACAGAAGGAATTGTCTGAAAGCAGTGTGGGAACTATGGAAGAAAATGCTTCAGTTGACATGGCTGAGCGTGAAGAAAAATGTGGGAGGCCGAAGAAATTTGTCAAAGAACATCCAAAGCAGAACATTCTGTCAAAAATATCAGAGTCAACTAAACTGTCACATACATCAGATTCTAAAAGATCATCATCCGATTCAAAGGATTCCAAAATACAATTGGTGTCAAATGTGGAGTCTAATTGCGTTTCTGGTGAATGTGCTAGTCCACCACGAATAGAAAGTGCTTCAAGTGTCCAGAACAAAGCTGCACCTGGAAAAGGTGAAAAGTCAGGAAATGTGGCATCGATGAATGCTCCAACATCTTCAAATGCCCCTGCAATCTTGAGTGATGAAGAGGTAAAAATCAATAACGCGAAACTTTTCGTTCCATGTTTTAGTTATAATAAATTTATCTCTATACGCTATTCCACTTGCAGCTTGCTTTACTTTTACATCAAGAACTCAATAGTTCTCCAAGAGTTCCTAGGGTGCCACGCATGCGCCATGCTGGCAGTTTACCTCAGTTAAATGGTCCAAGTGCAACAAGCACGTTAATGAAGCGAACATCTAGTTGTGGAGGAAAAGACCATAACGTGGTATGCCCATTTTAGTTTTACCTGCTCAATTAGCTTTTTCTTACCATTTATTACTTAATTGAGGCGATGAGTCTGATTATAATAAATTGATTAGGCTTCTAAGAGGAGAAGCAAGGATTTATTAGGAGAAGCTTCTCATGGTTCTCTGGATGTTGTCAATGAAGCTACTATAATGGAGAGAAAGCCCTCTTCGCCAGATAACAGGAGGCGAGATTCTAGTCACAGGGTAGATTTGCTTTCAAGAAAGGAGGCAGATGGCGTGGTTAAAAGTGTGCGCTCTGTGAAGAAAACAAATGTCAGCTCCTCATCATCACCCAGTGAGGCCAATGGACATAGTTTATTATCTAGCCGCCCCTCCTCAAGGAATATCTCTGATGATGATCCAAGGATGGCTGGTCGTCTAACAAAACGCACTCTACCTGGTTTGTACTCTTTCAGACAGAAAATATTCTCTTAATTGCTCATGTAATACAGATTGCTTGCACATGGTTCTGTCCTCACTGGTGGAGGTATCATGTTTTGTAGGTTTGATTGCTGAGATTATGAGTGAAGGAAAACGTATGACTTATGAAGAACTTTGTAATGCGGTTGTGCCGGTATGCTACTGTACAAGCTGTTCTGTTAATATTGCACGATATCATCCAGTGAATAATTTTTTTATTTTTTTTGTCCCCCTAGCATTGGCCTCATCTAAGGAAGCATAATGGAGAGCGTTATGCATATTCAAGCCACTCCCAGGCTGTACTCGATTGCCTGAGGAACCGAAGTGAATGGGCTCGTTTAGTTGATCGTGGTCCGAAGGTATTTTCGTGCAACCTTTCGGTATTCAATATTCCCCTCTCGTGAGTATTTTAAAATCAATCGGGTCTGAACTCGGAGTTTGTGTGAACTGTTATTATATTTATTTTTTTAGCATTTTCAGATTCTGATTACGAGCTTTTTAAAATTGATGTGGTAATGTGCCCCACATGAACTGAATGTTTTTGTCTGAATAATAATTATGTTCCAGACAAGTGCAAGTAGAAAGCGGCGCAAACTTGATGGTGATTCCGTAAGTATAGATTCAGAGGATAACGACAACGAAGATAACAACAGAGTGAAAAATGCAAAGGATTCTGGGGGCAAGAGTTTCGAGTCACACCCGGAAAACGACTTCCCTAAAGGAAAACGAAAAGCCAGAAAGGGCAGGCGACTTGCTTTACAAGGCAAAGGTATTATCAGAAAACGGAGACGTAGGGCTGACGTTGTTAGTGATGATGAAAGTGACTCCTTTTCTACTTCCAGCGAAGAAGATAGTATGTCCAGTGAAGAAGAGATACAGAATGGCGGGACTTCTATAATTGGGAGCGAAGCCTCTGCCAGCTCGGACGAGGCTCGATAAATCTCTTCATATTTAATACCCCTTTTCTTTTTCTTTTTTCTCCTTTTCTTTTTTATTGCTAAATTTGCTGCAAAATGCGTCGTGATATGTCTTTTCTGTGCTCGATGCACATATGTAACATTAGTGTAAATACAGGTTTATAGTGTATTAGTGTGAGTTGGCGATTGCGATTAGTATCACTAGGGGTAGTTTTGTAATTAGATTCTTCAGTATAGAATTTACCTGTATTGCTTTCAGTTAGCGATTGCGATTTTTTGTTTGCTTTCGGAATCTGTATTGCCGATTTGTATGGAACTCTAACGAAAAAAGTAGCATCTGTTGAAAAGAGTATTCATTACTTGTAGTTTACTTTTGAATCTTATTTATTCTTGGTATGTTTGCTGATGGAACTTAACTTGTTGGCCTTGGAAAAGGTATCCAGTTGCTTTGAACAACTTCCCTTACTTTGTGGTGAGCATGACTTGTATATAGAGTTTCATATATTTAAGGGACAATTACACCTACATAATTACATATAAATCCCTTGTAATTCTTAAATATTGTTTAGTGTTCTTTTAAATATAAATTCATTAAAAAATATTATAAGAAACATTGCTAAAAATCGAACTTATTAGTATATAATTAGTTCGTTAGTTTAATTATACGTTTTCGGAATATTATAGATCGTTCGGTGTTTGTGACGCAGATTTCGACTTTACAAATTCTTTGAAACATTGTATGAAGTTTCTATAATTAAAAGGGTTAAATACACTTAACTTCTTCATACATGGAATATGTAACATTTACTTTAAATTTCTAACATTTTTAACATCTAATACCAAAAGACATTCATATCTTAATAAACAATTGTGAGAAATACTACTACTACATACATATTTTTATATTATAATAATAGTAATTACAATTCATCAAAAATGTTTTGATTATATTTAATATTAATTACTAATTATTGCTATCTTTTTTAACGGTTAATATGGTGCTTTACAAAATATGAAAAGTTGGTGGCTCCAACAATTTATAGATGACAATGAGTCGTTTTTGGGACGAGTTTGCATGTATGCAAACCCAAGCCAGACCCGTCAGATCGTTAAACTTTTAGACACAGAATAAATTTAATATTTATTTACTTTGATAATATTTTATTAACAAAACATTTCAAGGTTCAAATAGAATATATTCTACAAATGTATGCATTTCATGTAAGTGAATAATATAAATGTGATTAATTATATTTAATTTCTACAATAAATAAAGTTTTAAAGGCATGAGCATTTATGGTATTCAATGGAGTAAGTGATAAACGTAGTTTATGAGTAATGAAATTCATGAAAATGAAATGAGCAAGGGTGAAAGTTGCAACAGATATTCCGAATTCCAAAAAAAATCCAGTTTTGAACAATATTTTTCATTCAAAATTCCGAAAGTTGCGATTTACGATTTTTTTTTCCGATATTTTTTTGGAACATATTTTTGAATAAATATTAATTATCAATATTTGACCCGATTTAATGTTTGAAAATTTCAATTATTTTCCCCAAATTACACTTGTAATACCAATATTACTATATTAGCATGCATTTCATACATGTTGCTGAAAAAAAAATGAAATTTTAGAATTCCAACAATTTCGAAACAAAATTTGTCAATTTTTAATAAGTATTTTCGTTCTAGTATGGATTTTTTTAACAGAATTGAAATTAAATTTTCACTTCAGAAAAACAAAAATGTATTCCGGGTCTTTATTCCGACCCGTTTCCGACCAAGATGATTTCCGGGTCTCACCAAACCCGTACCGATTGCCTTCCCAACTCAAGAGACGCTAATAGCCAACTGTAAACAAATGGTTGAAAAATTAAAAATCGTGGAAAAACAAACAATACATTTCTCTGTGCTTTCTCGAATTTTCTCTCACTAGATTTTCTCCCTCTACCACCGAAACATCAAATTCAACATTCTTCCTGCAATCTAGGGTTCCCCATCTCACTCCTCACGTACACATACATAGATTGTGTTGATGCACTTTTTCTGATTCATCACATTCACTGATCGTTGGTGAGTTTAATTAATGTCTTCAATTTTCCCCTTCAATTTTTTTTTTTGTTTTCTTCTTCTTTTTGATCTTATTCTGAAATTCAAACGGATGTTTGGATTCGCTGTACTGAGGATTGTATTTGTTGCCTAGGATTGAGTTTTCAGGGATAAACCATGACGATTCCAGATTCGTCGGGGTATTGTTATATGATGGAGAACGGATCGATAGAATTGCCATGCAAGCCGGAGGAAGAGAAGAGGATTGTTCAGGAGTTGACCGCCAAAGCTGAGGCTAATTTGCGCGAGGGAAATTTGTATTACGTCATCTCGAGCAGGTTTTTTTTTTTTTTTTTTTTTTTTCAAAATTGCTTCTGATAGTTGATTAAGTAGTCGATTCGACCTCTATTTTGTATCTTATCTTGATAGATCTTATTTAGATTGTTAAAAGATGGAGGAATAGTGTAATCTGTGTGCTCATTTGGTGGGGTATTTCTATGTTTCAACCATAGTTCTATTGAGAAGGGTATTCCATCTGCTTCCTGAGTTATGCTTGAGTTTTGAAATAGATTATTAACTCCGAGTTTTATGCATCTTTTGAATATATGAGCGCCTGGGTAGAATTTTCCGGTTAATTTTTCTTTAAGGATTGCATCTTAAATGTGCAATATAAGTCCATTTCATGTAACAGATCTATTGGATTTATGATTACACCTTTTTTCTTCCAATGCTAGCATATGGTTTAAATTTAGTCGGCGATTGGGATTTGGAAGTAACATGGTTACGATTGGAAATAGCGTTGATTCTTATTTCTTGCAATGTTAACTGCAAGCTACAAATTATATTTATATTTGTGACAAGAAACAGGTCAGTTCACTGAGTATTGTCGAGTCTAACATTTTGTTTGTTTTCGTGAGGGTACAGAAAGGCCTTACACTTCCTCTGGATTAGAAAAAAACAGTATTATATCCCTATTGCGGAATTCAAGGGTCAGGAGGGTAGGGAGGGGATGTAAATTTTAGTAAGGGAAGAGAGTCTATACTGGGAAAGTGCTGTATTTTACTTTCCTTGATCTTTCCCAGCTACATAACGAGTAGTCTTTTAGATTGAATTGCCACATAGTTCTCATGATATCCGTATCAATCATCAGTTGAAGGTTAAATCGGGATGTAAGATCTAATGAGAATCTCAGACATGCTAATTTTAAATTCTTGAATGATTTCTTGGTGTGAAATTTGAAGAGTGACCAAGGATTTTTGGACATAAAAACTTATCATGTTTTCTTAAAACTGTATAAATGGTTACTTTAGTTCATTATCATGTCGAGTAAGGCTTCTGTCACCCTAATTTTCTAATTTAGTAACTATTTTCAGATTGAAGGTGTTGCATTGCTGCCCAACTTCCAGTACTTTTTTATAGCATACTTGCAGCTGCATATTTATGTTACTATGCTACTTTTTTCAGGTGGTTCATAACCTGGCAAAGATATACTGGGAAGATAGAGGGTGATTATCCATTTGATGGCCATTCTATTGAATCTCAATTTACGATGCCATCTGTTATAGAAGATAAACCTGGACCTATTGATAACAATGATATAGTTGCAAACGGAATGGATAATGAAGATGATCTGCAGGTTCTAAGAACTTTGGAAGAAGAGAAAGATTATGCATTAGTTCCACAAGAAGTTTGGGATAAGCTCTTGAAGTGGTATTTGTTCTGACTGCAATCTCCTCTCACTTCCATTCTTCAACAGAGTACCACTGACATATCTAGAGAGGCGTTTCAATGGTTAAGAGGCCCATAGTCATCAGTTGTTTTGAAATCTAGTACACTTCTCATTTATCCTTATCATTGAAGAAAATAACGCAGAAAAAACATTTGCAGATGCCAACCTATTGCATGTCATTCTTTTGAGGGAAAATAAACATGTTTCTATTGGATGCTGCTTTCACTGAAAAAGGCTTAAATTCTATTTACGAGTCTGTGATGTATAGAATTGTATGTCTGTACTGCCTTGACATGCTCTAATTGTTGAATGATGTATGTCTTTTGTCCTCAGGTATAAAGGAGGGCCGGCATTGCCTCGAAAGATGATTTCTGTTGGGGATCAACAGAAGCAATTCATTGTGGAGGTCTTCCCTCTGTCTCTCAGGTTAATTGACTCTGGAGACCAGAGTGAAGTAATTATAAGACTAAGTAAAAAGGTCTCTCCCCCCATCATTTTGATACTTCTGATAATTTGTATTGCGAATGTATTCTCTGATGACATCCCATTAGTCCTGACACCATTATATTTTTTGATCATATATGCAGAAATATGGTTGATTTATTGTGCAAAGAGAAATAATCCATATTTCTTCATATCTAGTTTCGAAATATTTTCCTAACACATTCACCCTGATTTTGTGTTCAGGCTTCTTTACATGACCTCTACGAAAAGATTTGTCAACTCAAAGGTCTAGATCCGGAAAAGGTTTGCTCATAGAGTAATTATTTCATTATTGCCTCTGCCGATATGTTCAAATATAACGACTTCGTTTGTCTTTCCAAATTTATACAGACACGCATATGGGACTACTTCAATAAGCAGAAGCATACAATATTAAATTCTTCGAGTCAAACCCTAGAGGAGTCTAATTTGCAGATGGATCAAGATGTAAGCTTATGATACTTGCTAATACTATGAGAGAGATAACGATTTCTGCTCTTTGCAATAGTTCTATACGGCTGTCTACTACCTGCTAAAAGTGTGGGCTATTCGAAATGTATTAGTCTAATTGTGCATTGCACATCTTGAAAGATTTTTTTCTTTATATATTAAATGAAAAAATATGATAATTGCTTGAATGAGTGTGACAAGCAAAACATAGTAGAAGCCCAGTGCAGTTGATATGCTGAGAATTGTCTTATTATTTCTTCTACATTGTTAGCATCAATCTTAGTAGATAAGTCTAAGAGAAAAAACCCAATCAGAGGTTTAGATTTTACTTCAAAATTTCCTTCTTGAATCTATCGTTGTTCAGAAATACAAGTGCGAGAAGGCTTAGGCATGTATCCTATAAATTGCATTTCAGTGGATTTACTTCGATTTGTTGGAGAACAGTTTTTCAGGCTTGCTGTCTAAATTCATTCAATTGACTTTTCCTCTTTATAAGTTCTGTTAATTAGTTTAGCTTACAATCGAAACACCAAAGATCAATACTTCGTGGATTTATCGAGCTGTGTGATCACTGCTCAAAATTGCATTGCTGCATGACAAGATTTTTATGTGGGAATCTTTACATTTATTTGTTCTGTCGTAGTTTCGTTACATGTTTTCTGATTTCTGGAGGCCCTCTTTCTCTTTCTGTAGATTCTCGTTGAGGTGTCAACTGATGGATTTGGCAAGGATTATACTGGAAATGGCTTACAATTGGTTCCAATTGAGCCTTCAAGATCGACCTTTTCAATTGCTGGTGGCCCAAATATGTCCAATGGTTATTCAACTAGTAATAGCTCCAACCTATACCAGGAAAGTTCTTTAACTTCCACATATGCGGATATGGAGGACGGGTATGATGGTATGAAGCCTGTAACAGGAGGAGATAGGAGAGGTCTGGCAGGATTACAAAATCTGGGTAACACTTGCTTCATGAACAGTGCTCTTCAGTGTTTAGTTCATACGCCTCACCTTGCGCACTACTTCTTGCAAGACTACAGTGATGAAATCAACACACAGAATTCTTTAGGAATGCATGTAACTGCTCTGCCGTATCTTCGTTGCAAGATTTCTTTACTTGGTATATTGCAACGAGCGGATCGTAATGACTAATTTCACCTTGCAGGGTGAGCTTGCGCTTTCATTTGGTGAGTTACTGAGGAAACTTTGGTCATCTGGTCGAACTTCAGTGGCACCTCGTGCATTTAAGGGGAAACTTGCTCGTTTTGCTCCCCAGTTCAGTGGGTATAACCAGCACGATTCACAGGTTAGTTTTGGTTCGAATTTGGAAGGAAGATATTTATGTGATGTCTGTAGTGGGATAATACTTTTTCTCGCTCATGTTTTTTTAATAATTTATCGACATTTCATTTTTATATTGCACAATTAGCTACCAGAAACATACAATTTTTTATTCGGTTATAGGATACTTGAGAAAATTTGATATTGTGATAAAGACAGTAACTTAAATCCATGACGCAAACATGAGTAATAAGTTTTGGGTGCCTCTTGATATACTGTGGCTCTTCATGGTTGTTCTGATTTGTAGTTCTAAGAATGTAACATTGAATCCTTTTGGAAATTCTTAAAAAAATTATTTTTATACAGCTTTTCACCATGATATACTGGTTTTAACAAATGACCTTCTTTGTTGACCTGCTGGGTCTCTCAAAATTATCAATCTTTCTAAAAGAATGATATATAATTTTTCATTAGGAGCTCCTTGCCTTTTTACTTGATGGGCTGCATGAAGATTTGAATCGCGTTAAGCAGAAACCATATATGGAGATAAATGATTCTGATGGTCAGCCTGATGAGGAAGTTGCAGATGGGTTTTGGAGATATCACAAGGCGCGAAATGATTCCATAATTATAGATATTTGCCAGGTGAGTAACTAGGTCCTAGATAGATTTCGTTTTTGAATCATGTGGCTGCATTTTCCATTTATCCCTCTTATGATGGACTATTTTCACACTGACTGTTGCTTGATATTTTTTGTTCTGATAATAACTTTTTTTAAAATGCAACAAATATAATAGCATTCATACATGAGAAAATGTGAATTGTTTAATATGGAAAGACGTCATATTGAAAAAATGTATATGATCTCTTAGAATTAAAAATGCCAAACGAAGACATGTTAGACAGTAAAACACTCCTTCCGTTTTTGTGGCCAAAGGAGATTGATTTCCTCCCAGCCTTTGACTAGAAATGATAGTGGAAAGTTTAAGCAAATGTATGGATTTGATATTCGATAAATACCAGATAGTTCATGACATCTTCAGGACCATATGGACTCAAAGGGGAATGGTGATTTCAGAAACTTGGTATGGTTTGATAATTGGTCGCGAGAACATGTATTTATTATGCTGGAACTCTGGAACTAAAAAGAGAAAAAAATAGTTAATTCCTATCTTAATATTAAATTTCCACTAACTACTATGAATGGTTTTCACACCAAGACAATGTATATTCTGAATATATTGCCATTGATTTTTTTTTTTTTTTTTTTTTTTTTTTTTTTTTTTTATGCCCGTATATATTGCCCTTGATGGATTAAACAAAATCAGAACCGAAGAAATATTGTAAAAGTATATGGAGGTATTTATGACTTCTTGAATAGGGGGAATGCATTTTAATCTGGAAACCACTTCTAAGTTCTAATTAATTTTTAGAACACCACGGATTCAGAGATAATGACAAAAATATTAAATTAGATAATCATGTTTGCCACAGAACAAGAAATTTTGAGAAAAAACATATCTTAAATTATCGGGGTATAAGAGTTTCTAATCAATACTCTATATTTCTTTCTTTGAAGCTATATTTTAACTCTTGACTTCTGCAACAGTAATTGCTACTATATTACAAAGTCTTCTTTTATTTAGCACCTATATGCACATTTTATTGATCTTAATTGTTTTCAGGTAATAGTTTTTTCCGGAAAAAAAAGGGTCGTTTCATATACTTCTGAGCAGTACTAATTTTCTCTTAGTATATATTTCTGTGTCGTTTATCTAATGATTAATATTTGACAGGGTCAATACAAATCGACTCTGGTTTGCCCAGTTTGCGACAAGATATCTATAACATTTGATCCGTTCATGTACCTGTCGTTGCCTCTTCCTTCAACAGCTACTCGATCAATGACAGTAACAGTGTTTTATGGTGATGGAAGTAGCCTTCCTATGCCATTCACAGTTACTGTTCTAAAGCAAGGATGCTGCAAAGATCTTAACCAGGCTTTGGCTAATGCGTGCTGCTTAAGTAATGATGAATACTTGCTCCTTGCCGAGGTAGATATAGTTCGCTAATTTAATATGCCCTATTGATGGTAGAATGCTAGGAGTTTTGCATTTATCTTTTGGTACCACAGTTCATATGAAGCTGCCTTTAAATTTATAGGTCTACGAGCATCGGATATATCAGTACCTGGAAAATCCATCAGAGCCTCTGGCTACAATTAAAGATGATGAATGCATAGTTGCCTACAGACTCCCCAAGAGGGACACAGTATTAACGAGAATAGAGATATGCCATCGGTACCTGGACACGTGAGTTTTCCCTTTTTTTCAATGGCAGCTTACAGAATTTATTTGTCAAAATTGGAAAAAAACTTCAGCTATCTTGCAATCATATGGACCTGTTTGTTTCCTTTATACTAAACTTCCGATTGTCAATTGCTTTAGAGGACATAAGCTGTTAATGTAAGAATTAAAAAAAAAAAATCATCGAATTTTACTAAAATCAAGTGCTTCGGAGGGCAAAGCCATTATTCTTGATTATTTGGAAGGAAAAGCCACGGCAATACTATGTCAGTGGCTCTAGCCATTAATTTACAATACTCTTAACAAGAATAGAACAAATTGCTGATGACTTGTTAGAATTATTGAATGTATTCCCACGGAGTTTTACTTGATCATAACCTACTCATGTGTGTGTATATCTATATATATTTACACATAATGTACATTTATTTTCTTCAGTGAGAGGAAGCTTTTCTTGACGCCTTTAGTGACTGTCATGGAAGATCCACAATCTGGAGCTGATATCGATCTTGCTGTCAGCAAAGTGCTTGCTCCTCTAAGAAGGAAAGTGTTTTCCACTTCGAAAACAATTGACAGCAGCACAGAAACCGACTCACCTATGACTTCAACAGAAGATCAAATGAACATCGACAGCACCCAATTGGGAACTACAGTCCAATCAGAAGAGGAAACAGAAGCAGCAGGAATGTCGAGCAGGGACTTGTCTTTTCGGCTCTGTATCACTGATGACAAGGGTTATGCCTGCAGGCCTATAGACAAGGACTCGCCCATAAGACCTGGTCGATTATTAAAATTCATGATGGAATGGACTGAACAAGAGCATGAATTATACGATTCTAGCTATTTAAAGGATCTCCCCGAGGTTAAAAGATCTGGATTTCTTTCGAAAAAGACCAAACAAGAGTCAATCTCTCTGTTTTCGTGCTTGGATGCATTTCTCAAAGAGGAGCCTCTAGGACCCGATGACATGTGGTATGTATGGTTGACTAACTATATATATTGGCATGTTGAATTTTCTTAACTTCTATTATTACATTCTTAAACGTTTAATTACAGGTATTGCCCTCGGTGCAAGGAACATAGGCAGGCGAGTAAAAAATTGGATCTGTGGAGGCTGCCAGATGTACTCGTCTTCCACTTGAAAAGATTCTCCTACAGCAGATGGCTGAAAAACAAACTGGACACATATGTAGATTTTCCCGTCGAAAATCTCGATATAAGCAAATATGTGAAGAGTAAGGACGCATCCGAAGGGTCACATGTGTACGAGCTTTATGCCATCAGTAATCACTATGGTGGCCTTGGTGGTGGCCACTATTCGGCTTACTGCAAGGTACTCGATTTACTATTTTTTCCCGTTTGTGATTATAAATTGAGAAACTATGGTTTAACTGAAATTTGTTAAACATTTTTCTTGCAGTTAATTGATGACAATAAATGGTATCATTTTGACGATTCTCATGTTTCGCCTGTGAGTGAGTCGGAAATCAAGACATCTGCAGCTTATGTGCTGTTCTATAGACGGGTTAAACGTAATATAAATGGAACAGCAGGCGAGCAATCAGAACAATTAGTACATCATTAGTTCTTGAAATGGAGTTTTGTTTTGGTGAAAAAGCAACATAGATCGGGAGCTACGCTAAAAATTACTTGTGCCAAGGAAGAAGATCTGTGATATAATTTTTTGAAGGCTATAACTTCTTTTAGGTAAGTGTTCCTTTTTATATGTAATTGTTGGCTTACTTTTTGGTACAAGGATATAAGATGTGTAATATGTTGACCTTTTGTTTTTGAGGAATAAAACGTCTATGAGTGATACG